CAGACAATCCAGCAATCACACCCCTTGGTATTTACCTAAAGGAGCTGAAAATTTATGGCCACGAAAAATCTTGCACATGAACATTTATAGCAGCTTTATCTATAATTGCCAAAACTTGGGAGCAACCAAAATTTCCTTCAGGAGGTGAACGGATACTGTGGTACATCCTGACAATAGAATATTGTTTAATGCTAGAAACAAATGCACTGGGGTTCCTTGATGGCTCAGTCAGTTGAGCATCTGACTCTTGATTTTGGCTCACGTCATGATTCCAGGGTCATGGGATTGAGCCCTTCGTTAGGGCTTTCTTTTAAGGGATTCTTTCTTTTAAGTTTCTTTCTTTCTCCCTCTCCCCCTCTCCCCCACTCGCTCGCACTCTCTCAAAAAAGAAAAGAAAAAAAGAAAAAAGAAATGCACTACCGAGTCATGACAAGGCATAGAGGAAACTTAAATGAATGTTATTAAGTGAAAGAAGCCAATGTGAAAAGGCTATATACTATATGATTCCAGCCATAATGTCATCCTGGAAAAGGCAAAACTATGGAGACAGGAAAAAGAGGTTGTCAAGGGCTGGAGGGAGTGTGGAATGAATGGGCGGCGAACATACAAGACCAACAGTAAATGTAACCTATGGATTTGGGGTGATTATGATGTGTCAATGTAGGTTCATCCTTGGTAACCAGTGTAGTTTCAGTGAATGATATTGATAGTGTGGGAGGCAGTGCATTTGTGACAGAGGCATATGAGAAATGTACCTTCTGCTCAATTTTGTTGTGAACCCCAAAGTGCTCTAAAATATAAAGTCTATTTTAAAAACATGATTTTATCAAAAGTATTTTTAGTTCACAAGTTCCTATAAAAGTTTTTTTTTCTCTCATTACAGACTTATCTATAATATGCTAATATTCGATAATTTAAAATGTGTAGGGGTGTCCAGGTGGCTTAGTCAGTAGAGCATCTGACTTCTGCTCAGGTCATGATCTCAGTCTGTGAGTTCAAGCCTCACATCAGGCTCTGTGCTGACACCTCAGAGCCTGGAGCCTGCTTTGGATTCTGTGTCTCCCTCTCTCTCTGCCTGTCCCCTGCTCGCGCTCTGTCTCTTGCTCTCAAAAACAAACATTTTAAAAAATTAAAAAAATAAATAAAATGTATATATTAAAAAAGGACATGGTGGTTTATGTACTTTCTATTACTATTTAAGCTTAGTTAAACCTCTTTAAAATTGTCAATAATGTGTCCTATAATGCATTATGAAAAGATCAGGATCCAGCTAAAAGTTTTTAGTTCTGTTGTTGATGTTAAAATTTTGATAAATGGCTGACAGACACACAGTGTCTTGGATCCTATGTGAGGTTACGATTTTTTTTTTTAATGTTTATTGATTTTTGAGAGAGAGAGCATATGCATGTAAGGAGGGGGAGGGGCAGAGAGAGAGGAGAGAGAATCCCAAGAAGGCTTCACAAGCAGAGCCCCAAGTGGAGCTCGATCCACCAACCCTGAGATCATGACGTGAGCCAAAATCAAGAGCCCAATGTTTAACCAACTGAGCCACACAGGTCCCCCCT